GAATTATCAATGAAAGAAATGAAAGAAATTTTATCGTATTTGTGTTGTCATTAAAGAGATGTTTAAAGCATCTGTCCAAAATTAAGTAAACATTGTGAAAAACCAAATTGCTTTTTTTAATACCTTGTTAAATGTGTTACATAAGTTTGTACACAAGTGTGTTGTGTACAAAGTAATGGGGTGTTCGATATACATAGCATTAGTGATAGTAAATAAAGCTGCTATAATATAACATATAATAATACAATTTTTTTTTTATCTTTAGATGGAGATTTTGTATTGATAAATATGAAAATTTCGGTGTAGTTGCGGTTATCGATGGAAATAAGTTGCTATTAACTGATTTCAAGCAGAATATTATACCCCCACCAAAGTGCAATAGAATACTGCAATTAGATAAAAACATTAATGCGTGTACAATAATTCTAGTAGATCAAAAACTATTATTATGCGTTTATGACGTCAATGAAGATATGACTATATTTAATTCAAATATTTCGAAACCACTAAATTTTGATGAGCATTCAAAATATATTGCATCTCCAGAATTATGTGGTCCACCTGCAGTATGGGGGAACTTCTTATTCCTCGGTGATGGTACAATAGTAACAAATAAGTCATATAATTCCCAATCAGTTATGCAGCTTATGAAGCTCGATAGTGTACTTACCCAATATATACCCTTAAGCAAATTTGTATTATCTGCAAAAATATATTCAATGGCTGATGCTGGAAATAAAATACTGCTTGCTCAAGCAGATAATGCAGAAATATTTAAATTTATAATAACTAAAGAAAACACAATAGAATTTGTGCAGGCAAATAAGCAGTCAGGTCCAGTAGTGGATCAACTCATCGTAGGTGGATCAAGGAATAATAGCATCAATACTACAATTGCATGGAAAACAAATCATAATCTTTTTATTAATGAAGAGCTTTATTTTAATGACGTTACTTCGTGTTGTGTCATTGACAATTATTTAATTTTTACCAAATTAACCACAATGTATTTCTGGCATTTAAAGCAGAAAAAAACTATTGCTGAACGTAAAATTGAACGTGGAAGTAAAATAATAACCACTGTCTTTGACAGTGGACGCGTGGTTCTACAGTTGCCACGTGGAAACATAGAAACCGTTGTCCCACGTATACTATCTTTAGGCATAGTGTCTAAAACTTTAAACCAATTGAGCTATAAGAATGCTATGGAAATAGTACGGAAAGAGCGCATTAATTTGAATATTATTTCCGATAATAACATTGAATTGTTTTTAAATAATTTGGAGTTATTTTTGAACCAGATTGACAATCCAGACTGGTTGTGTTTGTTCTTAAATGATTTAAAAAATGAAGTAAGTATACAAAATATGTATGCAATTATACATTAATAATATAATAAAATTGTATTACAGGACTTCACCAAAACCGTGTACAAATTTTATTATTTCAACGCTCAACAAATGTATCCAGAAAACTTCCAAATAGAAAAGAAAGTAGTAAATATATGCGAGAAATTGCTTAGTCTAATGGAGGAAAGTAAGAACAAAGCATTTTTTTTGCCTATACTGAGTGCATATGTAAAAATTGGAAAGGTGGAGAAAGCTTTAGCTCAGGTTTGGAAACAAAAATATATTGAAAATTTAAATACAGACACTGCTGATAGTTTAGCTGATAAGGGTTTACAGCATTTAATACAAATCGTAAATGTTGATGAACTAAGCGATATAGCACTTGGAACATACGACATTGGTTTAGTAGTTTATGTACTTCAAAAGTCACACAGTGATCCTAAAGAATTTTTGCCATTTTTCAATGAATTAAAAAGTTACGACACAAATTATCGTTGTTATAAAATTGATGAGCATCTGAAACGCTATCAAAAGGCATTGAAAGGTATAACAGCATGTGGTGAAGCAAAGCTTGATGAAGCATTGGAGTTCATTAAAAAACACAACTTATATGCTCTTGCCCTTAAGTATTATGAAGCTCATCCAAACTGCTATAAAAGTACTTGCCTAGCTTTTGGAGATTATTTAAGGACGAATAATAAATTGAAAGATGCTAGCATTATGTACGAACGTGGAGATAGTAATATGCAAGCTTTTTTGAGTGCAAAAAATATTTTGGATTGTGGACGTGTATTGTTCTTAGCTAAAAAAAATGGAGCAGATATAGCAACTGTTGCACTGTAAGTTTTGGTTAATATTTTATATATAAAACTAAATGAGCTTTAAATTTATTGCAACTATTTCTTACTATTGCTATGAAATATTAATATTTTTAAAGGGCGTAGATAAAAATTGATTGTCAAAATCTCAATTTCTTTTATAATGATATTTTGTTTTGTTCTAATATTATATGATCATTTTATAAGCGTCGATATTGTAACACAAAAATTAATAATTATTCATAATAAATTTTTCTTATTAAACTCAGCCCGAAATCAAAAGTGTTGACACACTTCAACGTACTTAGGACTATGTCTCAACACATATTTTTGAAAAACTCCAAATAAAGGCAAAGTAGTTTCCTGGCTACAATATTTGTATAATATAGCATATAATGTTGTGTATGTGCTAATTTAATTTAACAAGATCAATTATTATGTTTTCTTATAAATTTTTATAAGGTTGCTAGGCGGTTGGTAGGGTGTCAATTTTTAATATATATCAATATGTAATATCTTTAGAATAATTCATTCTCATACCTTAAGTCGCTTTAAATTTTTTTAACCAAATGAATTTTTCATCATTTTTGTAGAGAATCTCAAAAAAATTTTTTCCATTTTTTTATTTGTCAAATTTTTTGCATATATTTTTTGCAGAAGGATTTTTTTTCTATCACGAAGTATATTTACGTCGGTCTCTGAAACCTCTTTTTTTCCCACAAAAAAAAAATTACAAATTCACTAGGGCACATGAGTAATAATAAATAATTAAATTAAATGGATTAGAACTAATATATATATAAATACATATTTTTAAAATATATATGTAATATATAGAATATAAAATGTATAGTACTAATATATAGAAGGTTATTTGACTGAAAGTTTTTTTTATTTACTCTTCTTTGATACATTTAATTTTGGTGTCAGATCCTTCATTATGTTAAAAATATATCCATCATCCATATGAAATTTTTTTCATTTTTTGAATAAAAAAATTATCTCCTGGTTTTATGCCATTTGGGAAACACGCTGTTGTTGTCTCTTATTAGCCAGCAACTGAAAGACGCGTTACATAAAACTGCCTGAAAAAAATAAAAAGGATGACCGTCTTGCAAGGCTCTATTCTCCATCCACACGAAAAGTTTTTACGCTTTGCTTCATTGGTTGCCTACTTAGTTTCTGGTAAAACAAAATGTTAAATTAGTGGAACCAGATTCATTGCTGAATCAGGATTTGTCAATGACTATCTCAATAGACTACATTTGTTCTAAGCCAGACCTCGATCTAGGGCTCGGCTTTCTTATACCTAGTAGAGATGACTGAACTCTAGATAAGATAGTTTCTGTTAACACGACAGACATTTACACTGACAGATCCAAAATAAATAAAAGAGTCGGTAGTGGTATAGTTTTTTTTATAAATTTGATATTAGCATCTACGACTAATGGTGATTCAGTACGCAGTAAAATAGAATCTTCTCGGACATCCAAACTGCAACTAAATCTTGTAATCGCTGCAACTACATCATTAACAGTCCCTAACAAGTATACCAGGCTTCTCTTAATAATAACCTAGCTACGGCAATTTTAGATAAATGGCAGGTAAAAACTCTTTTCAGATGTCAAGATCGACCTGGTTCAAACTGGACAACCAACGTAATAGTTGGCTGTTTCAATTAAAGCATAACGTGACTAGTGTATCGCTGCCGCCAGGTCACTGTGATCTAAAGAGATATGCAATGAGACTGGGCCTATTCAACTGTTCTCAACCTTATGTGTCCATGATTGATTAGGAGAAGACTTGAAATCTTTAGGGCCGGTTTTCTTACCAACGTTATAGAGTTGTTATCCTGCAAAAGTAGGGATTTGGCCAAGCTTATAGACTTGTAAGGTTAGTTTACTTTCACTTGAATGTGGGACTTATGTCGTGCAGTCCTTTTGCCAGTCCTTCTAGGCTGCGTATAAACAACGTTAATCCCTGTATTCACAACGGGCTCAAGTGAGCACAACCACCACTCCAATCTAACCTAATTTAATCTATATGTGTTTGACTTTTTCGGCATGTGTGATTTTACTCAATATTACTTTCTGTTTATTTATTTTAGTTCGTTAGTTCCATTGCTAATGGAAAAAGGAAGATATGATGAAGCGTATGACTTACAAAAATCTTATGGTAATAATATTATTGATGGCGTTAAAATATTATTAAAAGGAAAGATTTACAATAAAGCCATTTGCGAGGTTCGCTTGTTCCAAGCTGATAACAATGATATTAATTTAATAGGTAAATAAAAACGATTGGATATTTTATATTGATACATAAAAATAACAAATATTTAAATGACAGATTCTTTGGTTTTACCCGAATTACTAACACATTTTCAATTATTGGAAGAAAAGTTATTAGAAGACAAAAAAACTTTTGAAAATTATAAGGAGCGTTTACTAGAAATACGTAAAAAAAAATTGAAACAGCAACTAGAGGGCGAAGATGCTGATGATGATAATATTGATGAATGCGATATTATTTCGGACACAACAAGTGTTTCACGTTTTACTAACTCTTCGCGTGGCACAGGGTAAATAAATGCATAAATGCATAAAATTTAACATATTTTTATAATTTCAACAACATTTATTAATTTGAAATAGCAAAACATTCCGCTCAAGCAAAAACCGTAGAAAACATGCAAAAAAAGTGCTCAGTCTAAAACCGGGTAATAAGTTCGAAGATATTGCATTGATCGATGCGCTTTATAATCTCACTATGAAGTTAGCTACGCACCAGCAAATCGTTCATGATACTTGTGGAGCATTAATTGAACTACAACAAGATACTGATGCATCAGCTTTGCAAGAACTATATAGAGAAATTTTAGTATTAATAAAAAATTCGTTAGACGAAATTTGGATACCGGAGTTAATGACCGCAAAACAGTTACCTACAGGCCTAAATATTGATTACGCAGAACTACAAAATGAACAACGTTATGCAATGATAGGTACGTTTGCCATCTGATAAAAACTATTTATTTTTCTAATTTACTTATTTGATTATAGAACCTGTTAAACGCTTCAAACCAGAATTAAAAATCTTTGATTGGGAGCATGAAATACTCCGTTTAAATCCTTAATCATGTGTAGTTAGTATTTAAGATTACTAATCATGAATTTAGTTAGTATTTTTTTATATGATAATTATATAAAAAGTAAAATGTGGAAAAGTAATTTCACTTTCTAACAATATTAATAAGTTATGCAAATTAAAAACAAATCATAGATAATGATGTGTTTCGTTTATGCTGGACATGCGATTTACTTTCACTAAAATAAATGAAATAATTAATTGTAACAAACAAATCTATATCAGCATAAAGTAATGGAAATTAACCAAGCGTTTAATATACTTACTTAAACATAATATTTATTAAACATGGGTCGAATTGTAAGAAACACAAGCAAAACAATTGCAGCAATATAGATAACAATTAATATAAAAAAGTTGTAAGTGTTTTTATAATAAGAGCTTCTTAACTGTGTTACATTTTTGGGGCGTATTAAAAAATAAAATATGTACATTAATTTTGCTGATTCAATTGAAAAATATACGCCTTTCAATATTTATTGATAAAATCAAAATCTCTTTAAATTTAATATAGCAATTCAATTTAATTTTTGACACTTACATACATATTACATAACTATAATAGTTATATATCACAATTTGATATAAAGAATATTTTTTTAAATTATATTTAATCTATTAAAGAAAAATATATATATTTGTAATTACATATTTTTTTACATTTTTTTACATTTTAAATAACGATTAAGCCAATTATGAATTATTGTTCAGAGTTTTAATATTACATGTATTAAGCAATGAAAAATAGCAACGATGCATTGATATGTACGCTTTACCCATTGCACATTGTCAACGAAGAATTAACTATAACATAAATATATTATTTTGGCAAGTCTGGGCAGGGTATTATGAGTAATAAATCGTACATTTTTGAATTAGAAGTTTAATAAATCTGGCTAATTAAGTATGGATTGAATGTTAGAACTGGAAAATAGAACATTTTTCTATTTTAGCATAGTTTTTTATTAAAAAAAACTAAAAAACAGAACTTCAACTTATAAATTTCTTCTTTTAATAATAGTTATTTAAAATTGCTTAATTGACTTTATTTAACAGATTACTACTAGTATTATTTTTAAAAAGAACTCCGTCTCTTTTATTTATGAGTATTTATTTCTACAAATTGGTTATATAGCCTTGTTAAAATAGTAAGTTGTTGTTGCTCTAACTCCTATCGGTGGGTCATAATTTTTATAATTAAAAAACAAAAAGATAAAAACTTAAGAGCGTTTGTACGATGAAGAATATGAAAACGAACGATTATATATTAAAGCTCAAAAGTAATTGGTCAATAATGCAATAGGCGCATAGTGGATGAAGGCTTTCTAGAGAACCTCTTCACAAATCGAACGTCAGTTCTTGTGTGAAGCCTTATGCTTATATCTGCAATCGATGCCTGATTTTTTTAGTTGATTCACTTCTGATGCATTTAGAAGTGTTATTAAGATGAACCATAAAGATTGTGAGTGTAAGAGAAGCAAACGGTTGACTTTTATTGAACAATCTGGTCATTTTGAGTAAAAATAATGTAAAATAATTCAAACATACAAGGAAGTTAGGCTGTTTACTAAAGGACAACTTAGTTTTACTAAGTATGATTTGAGAGCGTCTGGTATATTTACTTTAATTCCTATGTCAACAGCACCTGGGAAATTTGATGACACTACTACTCACGGGCTATCGTTTGTTAACTGTATTTAAATTAATTATTTTATATCCTGCAAGCCATATCATTTGTTTACGACTTTAAAATTTACATTTGATAATACCACCATGTCATTCGTTAAGATATATCTGTAGGCCTATATTCCCAAATAAATGAAGTATTGGGAATATAGGTCCAATTAACTAATTAATGATAAATAAACTATTGAATGACTAAATAAATAAGAGTTATTTTGAATTTTTTCTCATTTCAATGAAAAATCATGGAATTGCAAAATATCTATTAAGTTTATAACCACTAATCATATGCTTAGCTTACTATTTCACTTAAAAAGTTATGTATCATCGATTTACTTCCAATTTCAGTTTTAGAAGAACTATATCTTTTTTAGCAGATACATTCTTTTATCCGAATCCTAGTTCGATTTTTAAATATAAAACTGTTTTATAGATAATAAATATGATTTATTTCTTAAAATATTCCGACATCTATCTTGTAACGATCCATAAATAGCATCTCGAATTAATGAGAGGATAATAAATATGATAAAGATAATAAAAATGATTTGTTTCTTGAAATATTCTCACATCAATCTAGTAACGATTTATAAATGGCGTCTTGAATTAACGAGACGAGTTAGTCATGATAAGTATATATTTGTGATCCTTAATGGTATTCAGAAAATACATTAAATATGTCTGAAAAGGACATTTCTTATCTGATAGGTAAAGGTGGTACAAATTTTGATTTTTTGTGTCATGGGGAGAGATGTGGATATTTCTAAAACTGTTTATATTTATTCGTTTTTATTATTTATCGTTATACAGTAAAAAAAGACATTTTCCAAATACAAGAATATTTATCAAAAAATTTTAGTTTAAAATGGTTACAGACTCCTCGGGAAGGTATGCAGATCTGAGGTCAATTATTGCTTAGTTTGATGAAGTGATAAACAATAATCCATTCAAGGCGTAGAGTTGATGTAGGGGTAATGAAGAAACCGCGCAGTTAATAGAGAGTAAAAATGCTCAAGTGCAATGACTCAACTAATAATAAAATTATTCTCCTTTTGTAGTATTAACAAAAAGTTATTCAAATGATTTAACATATTTCTAAAATAATTTTAAATATTTAACAGCTATTAAAATGTATTATATTTATTTTTAAAATATAAATTTTTATTTTATTTTTATTTTTTTTAAATTATTATGAATATGAATATAATTATGAATATGAAACAAATTAAATATAACATAAAATATGGGAAGTGAGACAAATGCATATAAACAAATTAATGTCACAGGACAAGTTAATTTTGAACTTATTTGCATTTAACTTATATTTGTTTATAATAATTAATACAATTTTGTTTTCATTATTCTAACATTTTAATTGTTTGTAAATTAATTAATTTGAAAAATGAAATTCTCTCATTCACTTTTTGTCCACACTCACTATTATCTTTCAAATAGCGCTTAATTTATGTATGCAGCAACAACTGCATTTGCATATTTTTAAACAGCAACAAACTGTTGCAAATACATTGTGATTAACTATTCACCACACACCCAATCGCATAGCACAACGCAAACACTGTGGTAAACATTTGTTCACCACATCATACTGGTTTTGTGTGCATAAATTTTTTATTCATTCGAGTTTTGAGTTTTATACGGTTCGGAGGTGTGCGAGCGTCTGATAAATAAAAAAATACTGGAGTAAACAGCAATGCCAGCAGTGTAAACAAGAATGTTTTTAAATAATTAGAATAAATAAACTTCTAATATGAAATTTTGAATCGAACTTTTTATATAAAAAAGTTTACATATAATATTTTGCAATCACTACAATTGAAAACGTAAATGAAGTCAAGAAATTTTATTGCACACCAAAACGGATTGATGCATTTAAAAAAAGAAATATTTTACCAAATTAAATCAAACAAATAATCAAGTTAAAAAACAAGTATTTAGTATTTAATTCAAATTAATTTGAAAAATAATAAATTTTATTAAAAAGTCATGTTATTGAGTCTAAAATTGTGCATGTGTGAACCGATCAACGTTGTTGAATTTTAAATGTTTTTCAGTGAAGATTTTTGAATTGTGTAAAAAGTAAATAATAAACGTGCTAATTAGGCAGAAATAATATTTTTTTCCATGCTTTAAAATTTAATTTAAAATAATTTAAAATTTTTTAATAATAATATTCATTTTTTATGTATCGATAATTTTTTATTGTCTGCAATTAATATTTTGAGAAAGTCCAATAAATGGCGCAAACGGTATAAAAGGCAAATAAATACAAGATCAACAAAAGTTTACAATTTGCAATAATAACAACAATAATAAAGGTATTTAAATTTATAATTTTATTGTTAAATTAATAAAAAGTTTTTACTTTTACTTTAATATGTCCTCATTTGTTAATTGTAATGTTATGTAATCATTAAAAAATATCTGTATCAAAAAATTGTAATAAATTTCTTGATGGCATTAATTTGTAGACGATCCAATAGTCGGTTGAGTGTGGAACAGAGCAAAGGATTTTTTTTGTTTCTGAATGGCTTAAACTGGCCACTAAAGAGAGCCTGCATTTAAGTTTGACTAGAGTTATACATTTTTCCAATTAAATTATTTTCATTAGTTTTAACAGTGTTTTGTTTAATTTTTTTTACATTATATTCTTCTACTTTAAAACTATAACCGTTTTCTAGTTTGGAATAACCAACGAAAAGAAAACGGAGTTAGTGCTTATGGCAATACACATTCCAATATTTTATACAACGTTTTTAATAATGCTATAAATTGTTTTATTCGTTTACGAACTTTATTTTTATTAATTATAATTTTATTTTTATACTTCAAAAAAAAAAAATTTTAAAAAAAAATTTTGTTTATATCAAAACATGTTAATAGCAAAAGAAATGATATTCTTTTTTGTTCATTTCTATAAGACTATCAGCAATATTTTCACCCACAACTCAATTGTTAAGAATTTGATAAAACAATTTTCCATTCTAAAAACTTGAATCGGCTATTGAAAATCAGTGGCAAAACTGTTCGTATTAATTTTACAATAACAATAACAATAACATAAAACGTGAGGTGTAAGTCAAACTTTGAACAATACAAAAACAACAACAAAAATCTTGCAAAACGACTTTCAACATCGCTGGCATTTCAATAAGTCTTTTTTTTGTTTTTGTTTTTGTTTTGTTTGCTGACTTGTTTTCCTGTACTGGATCAAACAACAACAATTTTAACAATAACAAAGCTGTTTCTTAATGTTAAAACAGGATTGCCAAGACATTTAAATAATATTGGTAAAATGTTTACTGTACCTTTTGTAAAACGAACATTAGATGATTGACAGGGAATTCGATTGAACAAAAAAAAAAAGAATCTTGTTTCTATTGAACGAAGGGAACAAATTCAGCTTATAACTGACTATAACTAAAATTATTTAATATTAGAAAAGTAGTAACAATTAATTTTTTGTTTTTAATTTAAAACTATAAACTATAATCTAATTGATTCAGTACATTTCATATAATCAAAATGATGATGATATATTTCTTTTCTCCTAAGTGGATCATAAAGCCTCAGATATATACATATATCTGAGAGATAGAGCCTAAGACCAACATATTAGATTACAACTACTAATATTAAAGCTTTGTTTATTTTATTATTTATATCTTTCCGCTTTACCGTTCTTTTTTTTTATGGATCTATTAATCTTTCAGCATTGAATAGTTGTTTGTCAGACATATATTTCTTAAATATTTAGGAAAATGTGTTTGTACACTGACTTTACATAGCTATTTCACTTGTTTATAGCAACTTGTTTGGGAGATATTTGCATTAGAATAATTTTATTTATCGCTTTATTTAACCTCTCTCATAAACATTTACATTACATTACTCTTTTATGTATTGAAACTGTTATCAAAATTACATTATTATAAGAAGAGCAAATACATTACATTAGGTTCCCAAGAAATTAGAACTGACCCATTGTGTTACTGTTGAAAAAAATTTTGAAATACGGCGGAATTTATATACTCCCATATGTATACCTATATAGTAAAACACTTCATTCGTCAAATCTACAACTGATTGGTTTTGTTGAATAATATAATTTAAAATAAATTTAAAGATCGCTAAAATAACATCAATGTATACTATTCCTTCAAGATTTTTAATGCTAGATCTCTTTTTAAAAAGATCTTCTTTTAAATTTTATATTATTGTGCTTTAAATCCGAAATTAACCGGATGGATTTTTAAACAGTTTAATTTAGAGATTACGTACATCGTATTCAAATTTAGGGAGAAAAACTTTTAAAAAACATTCCATACCGATTTAACAGATATTTATGTACTCAACAGATCCTCGGACTATTTTAATTACGTACACCCAACAGATTAATATATTAACCCACTAAATCAGCCTTTAAGATTATTAACTTAAAAAGATGTACATATAAGGACATCATATGACCTATATGAAATCGTGATTAAAAGTACATATATGTATATAATAAAATATGTTTTAATCAGTATGTGTAAAATGACATATTTAAAAAGGCGTATTCCTAAAAAAGAATAAAAACAAATATTCGACTATTTAGATTTAGATTTGACTAAATTGTTTAACTGTGATACCCATTCCAAGTAGCAAACCTTTGTATTTTTTTTTTTTCAACTAAATATAAATGTAAACATTTGAGATGTGTTACACTCTGTCATAGTATCAACAACTATTCGTTATATATAATCATACATAAAAAAGCTTAATTCAAGTTAAACAAATATATTTCTTATTTAAAATTCAAACGATATAAATATATCGAATACTTGTGTTATGTGTTATACTTGTGTTATGAAATATATCTCCGAGACCTTCATTCATATAAATATCAAAAAGTAATAATAATAATTTCAAAGTTTTAAAAATAGTGTCCAATATTAGCTGTATAACTACTATCTGATATATAACATATAACACCTGATCTTACTTATAACATTAATTAGTTGTTTGTGAGTCTTAGTTTCTGCCACTATCTCTTTCTAGACTACGCGGACAGTTATTTAAGTTAACCTTTGTATATATTGCTATCAGTTATATATTTAAACTAGTAATATATAACAAATTGAGATATTATTACTTTTTGAAATATGTGCTCAAGATCTTACTTATAACATTAATTAGTTTTTTGGAGTCTTAGTTTGTGCCACTATATCTTTCTAGACTACGCGGATAGTTATTTAAGTTAACCTTTGTATATATTACTATCAGTTATATATTTAAACTAGTAATATATAACAAATTGAAATATTATTAATTTTTGAAATATGTGCTTAAGATGGGTATATTGATTTACCATATTGTAATGCATTAAGAAAATAATTTTGTTTATATTTCTCATTAAATTCATTCTTTGCCTAAATCAATTAGGCCTGACCTAATTGCCTCATTCAATACGATAAATATAAAATTTACGATCAATATAAAACTACTTAGGTATATTATAATAAATGCTATTTATTATTTATTACTATTTATTATTTTATATACGCTTCCGTTTTAATGTACTATTACTTGTATCAGATCCAGATAAAATACAATTTTTGTGAAGATGGTAAGCCTGGCTTTTCGCATATTTATTCTATACAAAGAGCTAAAATACATAAATTATCGTGACTCACCCGACCGTTCTACCTGTACTATTGCGTTTAATTGTTTTTCTTTTGAAATATTTTTATAAGCTGTTTTCTTGGTTTTGTTTTAATATAAAATTCAAAAATATGCTCTCTTGACCATTAATGCTTGAGTCTTTACCTTGATCCCCAATCAGCGCAAATTGAAACCCCTCAACTACCAGTTTTCAGCAAATGAACTGAGCAACTCTTCAAATCACATAAAACGTCCGTGTTTATGTTATAAACTATTTGATTTTGAGTAGCCAAAAATTATGAGAAATAAATTGTCGAGCAGCTTAAGATTCACGTTAATATTTTTTTAATGTATTTTTTATATCTTTTCGTAATATTTACAAAAAAAATATGTACGTGTTTTATTTTGGAACAATTCTAGACTCTTAACGGATTGGAACTCCCTTATAAATTCTTTAAATTTATTGTTACTGATTTCACGAATTCACAGGTAGTCGAAATTTTAAAAAATTTTGGGTGATTTAAAAATTTAAAGATATTCTGAAAATATTTAACAATAGTCACATACATTAAATGAATAATCAATTCTTTATCAATTAAATTATCTGGACATTTTTGTAAAAATTTAGTTCCGGAAACTTAGTTATTAGTTTAGAATTTTATTCAAAATATCGGGTGCTTTTACAGATATTCAACTCCAATCTTTAATTTTGTAAAATTTCAGATTTTGTTTGTTAATTTAAACTTTTCCTTTTAGAGTACTCAAATCAACAGCGATAATTGTTAGATAAAATCTTTTCGTACCTAATTTGAGTTGAGAATGATGCCACAAAAATGAGTTTTAATTGCGAAATGACCATTAACCGCAAAAAGTTTTTAAAAGATAAATATGATTGCAACACAAATAACCGCAAGATCTCATTTAGTTAAGAAGAAAAAAAAAGATAAATGAGCGAAAAAACAATATGGAAATGACAAAAAACGTTTATTTCTATAGGTCAGGTCTGCAGTTCTTTTGAGTCACCTCAATATTTTTTTCACTTTTAAGTAAAAAAAATAAACTTTATAAAAAAAAAATATGTGTGTAGTTAGATTCATTAGTGCAAATGAAGCTTTAAAAGTTAAGGTTTTACAAGTTTAAAAATGTTAAATTTTCAGTTAAATAATCATAATTATTTAGTTTTTTATTAAAAAAAAGAAATTCTTTAAAAAATTTGTTTTTCTAATATAAAAATATTGATTTGAAAAGGAAATTGTTTTTGAAAGGAAATAATTTTTAACTTTTCAACTTAAATAATTATTACTTTCTGTATAAAAAGGTTTCAAAAATTAAAAAATACAGCACAAAAAAAAATAGGAAACAAAATTTATTTTGTTTCCTTCAAGCCAACTCTAGATTCCATTCTCCATAGATTTTTCATACTCTGTTCAAACCGTTAATATGCTGTTATGGCCACAATTTACTCCAAATTAATTGGTAAATTTAAATTTAATTTTATTTTTTATTTAAATTTAATTAATAAATTTAGATTCACGAATAGAAAAATGTGAAGGTCCCAAATCCCTTATAGTAAAGTAGTACAATGTTACCAACTTAAAGAAAAAACATTGTAATGATACACATGGTACAAAAAATGTAATTCCAATAGATTTACTTTGTAAATACAAAATCC